ATACGCATAAATCTTGTCAGTTAAATATAGATTAATGGGAATCAGCAGGGAGTAAAAATACTCCACTTTTTATGGTAAACACCATAAAACATGGTAAATACTTAACTTCAGTTTTATAGCAAAAACTATGTCCTGCCATCCCCATCCAGTACTCAGTTCTCTCTTTTTTAGGCATTTGGCTTTCTTTGCAGCTTAAATTTTATTCCTAGTAAACAATATTCTCTCCCCATACTTCCCTAAGTATATACGAAATACTCATTTCATATACTTTCAGTGAAGTACTACTCAGTGAGTTTTACTAATAACTTCCCAACTAACAGTGTTTTGACGTCTCAATTTGTGTTCTTCGTTACGGAAGTCCAGCTTGATTTCTTAACCTTTGCAGAAATGGAAAGGGTTTTTTTTTTGTAGGATTATGCCAGATGGTGAGAAAAAGGAACAGAAAAGAACATAAGGTAATTTTCTAGGTAGTCTAACTGGTTCATGAGTCAAGGTGGCATATGCTTGTAGTAGCTTAACTCCTAACAGTATAAATCTCTTGCATCCACATAAAGTTGGGATCCTTAATACCCGTATCACCTTTGAAAACGCTGCTAAGGATTTAACAAAAATGCTTTTGGTCACTTAGGCCAAGTTAAAAGACTGTACTTGCAGCCCACCCACCGGCACACAAAAATGCACTGATTCAAACCTCTGTGCAGGTAATATGTGACTACAGAGGCTGAACTACTTGGAAGATAACCTCAGCTAGGCTAGGAGAAAGAAAAATGAAGATAATGGAAAAGAAACAGCTATAATAACCATCTGCAAGCGCACACGGCCTCTACTTCAGCACCCATAAAACTTAAAAGGATGAAAGAAAAGGAAATTGCTTTCAAAATAGCATAGACAATTTTATAAACATTTCTTCTTATGCTTTTATAGGGTGTTGTACTTGTTGCCCTGTTTCTGGTATTAGGAGTACTGCATGTATTAGCTTTTAGCGTGAAGAGAGGTACATTCTAGGAAAGTCTTTCCTTCGCTTTCCCTTCTACCCTGCGTATGCATGCATATTAGTTTAAAAGTATATTTTATTTTTTTTAATCAAGCAGCCCTCTTGTAACGGTCACTTGGCACTTCAGCCAGCCCAAGGGTGCCAGGGGTATTGTCCTGCACATCAAATCAGCTTGCATTGCCTGGGCTACATTTCATCCTGTCCCACGGCTGTGAACAGGGATCTGTCCTGGCTCCGAGCAGCTGTGTGGCTGTACAAAGCAATGATCCCATTTGAAATAAGTGAAGAAATTCAACGGTGACCACAGTGGCTTTCCTGGACTAGGCTTAGAGTTTTGCCCTTTTGCAATCAGCACAGCTTTGGACTATCAATAGCTTTGTAGCTACTACAAGTCCCTTGAGCAAGGGCATAGTTTGACTGTCCTTCCCTTGGACTGCAATGCCAAATTACACATCTATGTCCCTCCTAAGGCTTGTTTCCCTCCCAGGGTGGTACTAAGGCTCTTCTCTTTTAACTGGACTGGACCCCAAGCCCAAATCATGGTGCAGCCCCAACACAGTCCCAGGAGCAGACAAGAGGTGCCGCAGCTGGGAGCTGCTCAAGGAACCCCAAGGGCACTGTGACAGAGGACCCGGGCAACCAGCGGCAATTTTAAATGTGTGGAATGAAAACCTGCTTTGTTGTCTTCCTAAAGAACTTAACGGAGCTAAAAGGAGAAATTTGCTGCAACCTAAGAGTCCTTTGTGCCTTTGAAACTCATCCTGAGTTTTGCAAACTTTTAGTCATTTTAGAAGAGCTGAGCTGAATTCGAATCCCAAATCACAGCGGGTGCAAGTTGTTTCTCTCCCAGGAAAAAGAGAATAACAAGTGTGTACTTCACAACTTTCAGCTGCAGACTTCTCTCTAGCCTAGACATGAGCCTTGCATAAATTTAGAGCTCACCAATTATTATGGCTTTATCAAGAACCTTATTAGTGATCATTAAAAATAATCTTGCTTAGAAGGGGACTGCTATGTGCAAAGCCCATCTTTCCTATTTACTTTGTTACTATTAATGGGTTTTTTTAATGTTTATACATTAGTGCAAGGAATAGTGTTAGCATAATTCTAGTGTAAAATAAAACCAGCTGTATCCATTATAAGTGCATTACTGCCAGGAACTGTAAATATGTTTATGCCTGATAGCCTTTTGACTCAATAATATCCTGCTATCTCTGCTGGGCAGGCAAGTTTTTAAACCAAGAAAAGACAGGTTATGATTTTCATAACCAAACTGTGTTTCTTTTTGAAGTATGTTATCTAAATTCAAATTTTAAGAAGGTCATTAAAAAAATCTGCCTGTGATTTTAAAGGAGAACAATTGAAATGTCATCTTCAAAGTGGTGGCAAGAAGGTACAATGTGCACTAAGAACAAGTTATTCCTCCCAGATACACACATACGCAGACAAACCCTGCCGTATCATACCATACAAACAATTTTAATTGTGTAGTTACAGTCAATAACCACTCCTAGTCAGAACATTTCTGCATAAAGAAAATTGTGATACACTTATAAAAACAGCCAGCTGTAACAAAATAACTGGTGTTTTCATAGCAATAAACTCATAAAAAAGAAATACACCTTTATACAGAAAATTTATACAGCAGTAGCTTTAAAATTGATTGTAAACCAAAGGAAGACACATTGCAAACATCAATTATTTTCACATTAATTGCATAAGTTTCTAAGGTGATCTATTCCTTTTATTTACCTAAGTATTAAGGTGATCTATTAGTTTTATTTACCTAAGCTTATTTGCATGATAGTAGAAATTGCATACAACAATAAGAGTGAAGCTTATAGTATTAATTGCTTGGATAACATAGAGCACTTTTTATAGGCAACTGTGTAAAGCACATTTTCTCTATTTAAAACTTTTAAGACACTTTGTTTTACTGCCCATCAAAATACATTTATAAATAGAAAAAAAATCAGTATGATAACAAGAGAAGCAATATTACATTTAACGGAAACTTCCAAAAAAATTAATTACAACATGATGCTGCAGGATCTACAAATAAATAATGAGGACTAAACTGTGTTTCACATTTTCTTTTTCATTTTCTTTAAAACCATGTAACAATGAGAATGGAAAAAAAAAATAGTGACCTTTATTTCCAAAAGAAAACAAATCTGAATTACGGCAGTGCCATATAATACAAGGCATTTGTTGGCATATGTTATCTTTAAACTGCATTCCACAGTCTATAGTTCTTTTGTAACATACAATAGAACAAGAGTAACAAACTCTTTTTTATTTTATTTTTTTAAATAAATGTGAGTTTCCAAAGATCAAGTGTGGAGTGCTACAGTAATAATTAAAAAACAAGAACAAAACAGAAACAAAAAACAGTAAATCACAAAAGTTGTAATGCTTGTCTGAAGGCTCCAGAATCAAAATCACTGGTATCATGCTTATTGGGTACACTCACAGTGTATCCAGTGAACACAAATTAATATCAAACAATCCTCAACGCTTCATCTGTTGCTGCGAAGCAGTTTGTAAAACAGAGTAAAACATCTAGTGCAGTCTGCATTATCCTTTTTTCAACTTTTGTGCAAGTTTTGGAAGATTCATTGGCCAAACAATGAATAATAAAGGTTTTTGACAGAACGCAAGATGGAATTTTCATTTCATTAGTAAATACCAGTGGCACTGTTGAAAGAAAATAATACTTTTAGATCAGTCTTTCAATTCAGCATTAATCTCTGTGTTCCCTTCTACCGATAACTCTTCTTCTAGTTTAACTGAAAAAAGCGTGTTTGCATTTTTGTCTTGGATGCTGTCTTCTAAATCCTTGAGCAACTCTTCTTCTTTGTACTCTGCAACATCCACCTCCAAACCAGAATTGTCCTTCAGCTTCCCATGGTGCTTGAGATAATATCGCTGGTTCTGAAAGAACTTGATAATGGTGTACTTGGGCAGGTCAAGCTGAGCGGAGAGAGTCTGGATTGCTTCTTCATCTGGATACAGGCCTACGTCTTGTATGAAACTCTGTAGGATCCCTAGGGCTTCAACAGAAATCTTTGTTCGCGGTCGGGGTTTCTGACGATTTTCATCCTCAGATTCAGCTGGTGATGCTACTGTCGGTTGCCTTGGGGGTAGTCTGGGACCTGGTTGCTGTTGCTGCTGCTGTTGTTGCTGTTGCTGTTGTTGCTGCTGCTGCTGCAAGACAAAGCACAGCATTTTTTTTGTACGCGTATTCTTGCTCATATTTTGTGTTACCAAGAAAATCCGGGGGGGAAATTACAAGCTATAAACAAAGGCTTAGTAAGTTCAAATGACAAAAAGGGAAAAAAAGAAAAAGGAAAAAAAAAGGCTCGTTATTGCTGAACCAGAATTAAAATATGAGTTAGTAACTCTCTGCATATCTCGCATGTGTCTGTATGTGTGCGAGCAGAGATGAGGGATAAAGGAACGGTGGGATACGGACAGAGAGGTGGAAGGAAAAGACTGGCTTTGTCTGACTGAAAGCGCCGACGATGAGACATCGGTGCAGTTTAGCTGACAAATTTTAATGAACATGCTCCATGAGTCAAGTGCAGACAAGACAAAATGCTAAGTAGGTGACATAGTATAGGATTAACTTGACCAGCTTAGCCAGAACTGTAGCAAACCATGTAACAATGAGAATGGAAAAAAAAAATAGTGACCTTTATTTCCAAAAGAAAACAAATCTGAATTACGGCAGTGCCATATAATACAAGGCATTTGTTGGCATATGTTATCTTTAAACTGCATTCCACAGTCTATAGTTCTTTTGTAACATACAATAGAACAAGAGTAACAAACTCTTTTTTATTTTATTTTTTTAAATAAATGTGAGTTTCCAAAGATCAAGTGTGGAGTGCTACAGTAATAATTAAAAAACAAGAACAAAACAGAAACAAAAAACAGTAAATCACAAAAGTTGTAATGCTTGTCTGAAGGCTCCAGAATCAAAATCACTGGTATCATGCTTATTGGGTACACTCACAGTGTATCCAGTGAACACAAATTAATATCAAACAATCCTCAACGCTTCATCTGTTGCTGCGAAGCAGTTTGTAAAACAGAGTAAAACATCTAGTGCAGTCTGCATTATCCTTTTTTCAACTTTTGTGCAAGTTTTGGAAGATTCATTGGCCAAACAATGAATAATAAAGGTTTTTGACAGAACGCAAGATGGAATTTTCATTTCATTAGTAAATACCAGTGGCACTGTTGAAAGAAAATAATACTTTTAGATCAGTCTTTCAATTCAGCATTAATCTCTGTGTTCCCTTCTACCGATAACTCTTCTTCTAGTTTAACTGAAAAAAGCGTGTTTGCATTTTTGTCTTGGATGCTGTCTTCTAAATCCTTGAGCAACTCTTCTTCTTTGTACTCTGCAACATCCACCTCCAAACCAGAATTGTCCTTCAGCTTCCCATGGTGCTTGAGATAATATCGCTGGTTCTGAAAGAACTTGATAATGGTGTACTTGGGCAGGTCAAGCTGAGCGGAGAGAGTCTGGATTGCTTCTTCATCTGGATACAGGCCTACGTCTTGTATGAAACTCTGTAGGATCCCTAGGGCTTCAACAGAAATCTTTGTTCGCGGTCGGGGTTTCTGACGATTTTCATCCTCAGATTCAGCTGGTGATGCTACTGTCGGTTGCCTTGGGGGTAGTCTGGGACCTGGTTGCTGTTGCTGCTGCTGTTGTTGCTGTTGCTGTTGTTGCTGCTGCTGCTGCAAGACAAAGCACAGCATTTTTTTTGTACGCGTATTCTTGCTCATATTTTGTGTTACCAAGAAAATCCGGGGGGGAAATTACAAGCTATAAACAAAGGCTTAGTAAGTTCAAATGACAAAAAGGGAAAAAAAGAAAAAGGAAAAAAAAAGGCTCGTTATTGCTGAACCAGAATTAAAATATGAGTTAGTAACTCTCTGCATATCTCGCATGTGTCTGTATGTGTGCGAGCAGAGATGAGGGATAAAGGAACGGTGGGATACGGACAGAGAGGTGGAAGGAAAAGACTGGCTTTGTCTGACTGAAAGCGCCGACGACGAGACATCGGTGCAGTTTAGCTGACAAATTTTAATGAACATGCTCCATGAGTCAAGTGCAGACAAGACAAAATGCTAAGTAGGTGACATAGTATAGGATTAACTTGACCAGCTTAGCCAGAACTGTAGCAAGGGCAAAGTGAGAAAAGTGCCAGATGAGGGCAAACGCACAGGAGCTCTGCCAGCAGCAGCAGCTGCTGCCCAAAAACAAGGGCTGCAAATCTCTAGCAGTAGCTAGACGAAGGGACTGGGGGGATCAGGGAGAAGGAGAGCATTTTAGCTAAGTGCGGAAATATCTCACTACTGATCTGACCTTAGCATGCACTGAAGTCTCGTCAAACTTGCAAACATTACGAAAGAATGCGTTAGCTGGAAGCGCCTAACGTCATGCTGTCAAACCCAGCCTCGGCAAGGACAAAGAGATCTGGAGGTAGGAAATCTGTATTTCCCCTTCTGGCTCTGACCTCTCTTGCCTGTGGTCTCGGAGAGGGTCTGTCTTGCCTGTGTTCAAGCATCCCAACGTATAAACAGGGAACAAACATATTTACCTGCTTCTGTGTTTGTGCTGGGGATTATTTAGTTAATATTTATAAAGCACTAAGATGCAAAGCTCTAAATAAGTTGCACTATTATTATTAGAAGGGAACATGCTGCATTCCAAAAACTCAGGCAATAAAAATGAGCCAGTATGCACATCAGAAGAATAAGATAAAGCAAATCATGATGTAAATAATTAACAAGAGCTTAAAATGAAGTTTTGCAAGCGTGGATTCAGAAACATTCTTAAAAGGTGAGGCACTGAGCCCTAGGGACAGAAATGTTTTTCTCATCTATCACCGGAGTAGAGTACACTATAAGATCATGTTTAAAATCAAAAGTAAATTTATCAGCTACTGGTTTTGTTGACAATTCTTTTGCTTCACAACACAGGAAGCACTGGTTAGTAAGATATTTTGGATCAGCAAATTTCTTGTCATATGGTACAAACCACCAGTTATTATTAAAAAACAACAGCAGCAAAACAAGCAGTTGCTATCACTAGATTTCATTTCCCTTTGCGAGTCTCCCCTCGAGTATTTTTTGTGTCTCGGTAGTGGTTTCCAAGTTGCAGCTCACTTGCAGCCCCTAAGAAGCACAAAATACTGTACAAATAGTATAAATATTGGAGGAATTATAATTCTGTCCACTTTGCAGTGCCACTCGTGGTTGTGGAGACTTCGCATAGGTCTCAACACATGGTTTGGAAGGCACTGCTTTAAGTGATCTTCTTATTGTAAGATCTGACACAAATGCTAGTGGAATTAGGGCTCTTGCCTCATCCCTGTTCACATCCTTTCATGTTTTATGGTCTGTGAGCAGTCCCATTCAAGGCTTCAATCCCAAAGAGATTCAAGACTACTCCCAGCACATTAAATTCTTACCAGACGGTAGGCTTCGTATATACAGTTTGAAAACTTGTGTCTTAGCTACATATTTATGCATCTACAACAATTACCATGTAGAAGAGCACAGGCAAAACTCAGGCCCAATCTCCCAATCCTTACTCTTACAAGTCATATTAAGAGATTACAATGCAACTGCTTATGTGAATAATATTTGCGAGAGCAAACACACAACTTTTATCAACAAGGCAAGAAAATCTAAGTAAGTGGCATAGTGGTTGAATGTTTATACTGTGCATAAGCTTCTCCTTTTATCCCCTTAAGAAGCGATTTTATTAAAAACAATGTACATTTTCAAACAAGTGCTGTTTTATTACTTAATATAGATCTTTCTCTCTCTTTTTGCTAAATTAAATAGCAAGTTTCCAGGCTTTCACAATTATTTTAGTACTTGATATCCTAAGGGATTGTCTTATTCAGTTTGCTTTATCTTTAATATACACTCGTGTTGTTTCTGGCTGCGAGATAACGCTATCCTTCCCAGCTTTGTAAATATTTTTCTGTATAGGTAATAAAATGATACACTGGGTCTCAGCTGAGGTTGGGAAAGCATGGGGTAATCTCTGCCCTTTAAGAAGGAGCAGTTAAAAGGCTGACCTCAGGTCTTTCATCAGAAGGGATTAAAGAGTCCCCAGCTCAGAGAGACAGCAGTCCACACTGCTGACCTGGGCTACGATATTTAGCAAAACAGCCAGCCACGCTCCCGGTTCGCGATGCCCGTGTGAGCAAAGGGTGGGCGCAGCCCCCGGAGGAGGGGGCACCGCTGGGGCTGCCCCGGAGCAGAGGGCGGCTGTTTCCAAGCTGCGTGGCGTGGGTCCTGCATCCCCTCCTCTCTCTCCCTGACACGGTGTCCTTGTGCCAGCTCACCTGCGGAGCAGCACCCAGCCAAGGTCCAGCGGTCAGCAGGCCTGGTAAGAAAGCGCCTCTATGCTCTCCTTTCCCAAGGGTGGTGGGAGAGGGGCTCTGAAGGAAAAACAAACAAACATTGACTCGCCCCAGCCTCGACTGGGGTTAAAGTGGGATGAGGAATCCCCTTCCCTTCACTCCTACCCGGGGCGAGCCGCCGCTGTCGAGGGTTTGAGCTTAGCTTTTGAACAGCAGCACAGCAAGGTCCTCCCGCTTTGCTGGTAAGGCATTTGACAACCGGTGGCAAACGCCTCTGCCTTTCGGTCCTGACGCCTGTCTAGCCAGGGACAGCCAGCACGGAGGCTCGCCCTGCCCGGCACGCAGGTGCCTCTGTGCCACCGCGTCCACGCACATTTGCGAAAAACCATTGAACCGAAACAAAAACTGCGCGTGGTCACACGCTCTCCTTTGAACTCTGGTGGCGGATGGCAGCGCGCTCTTATCTCATACCGGGAGACCTGCATTTAGCCTGGCCAGGAGGAAAGAAACACTAATTTCCTTTGCTCCGTTTAAAGCTTTATTTACTTAGCGCTCTGCGGGATTGGCCAAGGTAAACTAACCTGAATCTGTTCTGCTGGCACATGGATAATGTGGGAAGGCCTGTCACCATGGTGATGAACTGCATTGCTTTCTTGTTCATAAATGGCATCACGTTCAGGCTGAGGAAGACTGAGGAACCTTCGGATCATGGAGAGATTCTCCCAGAGGGTCCTGTTCTCTGGTGAGGGATCTTCTTTCCAACGTAACAGCTCACAGAGCCACCCCTTGAAGATAACACCAGCAAAACATTAGTTTTTTCCTCACTTCACGAGGGGCAAAACGAGGGCGAAACGTGTACTTTAGCAGCGCTGCATTCTCTCACACTCTCTCCTGCTAAGAAAGGGCTTTCACTGTATAGGCTGGGCTTAAAGCAAACACCGATACACCAAGAGGCTGCCATGCTATTTCACAGACCCTCACCAACCGCAAGCGTTTTGGAAAGCACCTTCCCCTTGGTCCCGCACCACAGCGCTGCTGTTTGTTTGCTTAGAAACAAACCAGTTGACCCCTTACATGCTCCCCTCTGCAGGACAGAGGTTTCCACTGACACCAGTATATTCTCTCTGCTGCCTATTTTCTCTTATTCAAGGCTACACCCATCCGAGAGCATCGACACCGTCTTTCAGGAGCCAGTAGATTGTCTGCTGAGCAATTTTTAAAATCCTGGTACTACTACTCAAAACAAGAAAGTACTTCAAATATCTTCCTTGACTGTAGGGCTGCCTAATGTAAATCACAGCAGTAGAGGAGCTCTCTAATGTCCTTTCGAAAGACGGGAATCCTTTGACTAGACGCAGGCAAGTAATATCTTCTTCCTATCTGCTACGAGTAGAGGTGCCTCTGCAGGTGAACTTACTTCTAGTGACAGATGATTATCCGTTTCAGGATTTTTCTCACAGACCCAGAAAAAACCAGTCTCTCAGAGAGTTTTACATACATTATTAGGGCTTGGGGTGGGGAGCAAGATATGCTCAAGCTTCTGGTATACCCTTTATACCATTTCCAGATCACAGGACAGCAAGTTGCCTAAGAGTGTACCTACTCTAATTTAGACGTGGCTTTGGGATACATGCTATGAAGTCGGCTACAGAATCCCCTGCAAGAACCGCAGTGGTTGCTAATTTGCTTCTGAAGGAGACAAACAAGTTCATCTTGAAAATTTAACAACTGTTTTCTTACGTCTTCTTAAAATTTAATTGAGGATTTTTTTCTTAATTGTGCGCTGGTAGTTTTAAAAGAAGAGTGCAAACTCTAGCTAGCACAGTGTGCATCAGCAGCAATTTTTTGGTATATTAAAATTTGGAAACAAAATATTACATGTATAAAACATGCATACTTCCTTTCTTTTAGCTTCAAGGATCTGTTTTCAAAACTAGGTCCACGCAATTTTATTTCTTAATGCTGTAAGAAAGATAATGTGACATTTTATTGAATCAACAAATAATATAAATGTACAGAAGCTTTTAGATCCTTTTTATATGTACTGGTAGTTGGAAAATGGTTTATCCAGACTAGTTTACTACTAGATACAATAGATACATAGATACAATATAGATATATATTTTCTTGAAGACATTCATATCTTTAGCTAGCAGTTAATAAATGCACTGTAAAAATATTGCCACGATAGGAAGAGGTGAAAGTAAACAAATAATTTTAATGCATTCATACTGTATACGAAAATATTTAGTGAGGTGTGCATAAAAATTTGAAGTATATTCTCTTGGATATAAGTGGAAAACTGAACAAATGACACAGGAGAAAATGCCCCCGAGAAATAGAAATAATCAGAATGACAAATGTTAGAGAGATGGTGATAGCAGAGCTGAGAAAGCAAAAATTTAAATGGGGCCAAAATCCGCCAGGTGCTCACTAGGTGTGCTAGGGAGGGAGGGGAGAGGGAGGAGAGCAGCGGCAGCAGAAGGGCCCCCTTGCACCCCGGGGATGGAGCGCACCCCACTCCTTGACCACGCGCTAAGGGTGGATGCCGAGTATTGCCCCAGGGCTTAGCAAGCAGGGCCAAACGCCTTCATATAGAGCACATAACGTGCAGCCTGTCCCAGCATGATTTTAAAACAGTAGCAAGGGTCTGTGAATTCTCCCTCCCCATCCTAAGGTGCCCTGGGACACATTAGAAGGTTGATGTACGAACTCTCCCTGCCCCTAACAAAATCAACACGTTGCTTGTGGTTCTTTTCCCACCTTGCTTCCACGGGGATACGTGCTGGATTATGCTTGACGGCAACATTAGTTTTCTGCAGCAAGTTAAAAGACGTGCAATCAGAAAATACAGGTAGTTTGTTGGGGATGGAGGGGAGAAGATGATGAAGAGAAACAAATCTAGATTTTTTAATTGAAATGCAGTTATAAAATTTTTAATTAAAAAAAAAAAAAAGCCTGCCTCGCAGAATAAAAATTGTCCTTTGGTTGTCTGGAGTCTGCACTGCTTCACATTGAAACTGTTGGTCCTCTTTCTAATGGTGGTAAAACAAGAGAGCAGAGCTGACTGTCATGGCAGTTCAGTGAAAGTAAAAAAAAAAGACAAGACAACCTGTCCCCTCCCATGACAGCTCTCTAAGGTATACAGACAGACTGGAAAAGAAATTGCACCACGCATTTAGAAGCTGCACATATTTTGTCTGGTGACCACGTGAATCACAGATTTTTTTGGAAAAAAGACAGTAGAAACTCTTTGCAAAAGTCCAGTAGTAAAAATAATTCCTAAGCAATCACATTTTATGATGATTAAACATATTTCACAACAACAGTTTTTGTTAACTAAGAAATTCCTTCTCCCCTTACTGTCTTTTCTGTTTCTATATTTACTAGATGAGACCTTATTTTTATTAATTACTGACGACTAACATTATATTTCCAGTATTTTTCTATCAACTTTTGCACTGAAATAATACTTCTAATTCCTTATCTGAAAGTGATTTGATGAATTGTAACCTGAAGCATGTCTCTGCTAGCCTTTCAGGGAAGCAGCGATTTTGAGATACTGAAATCAGACGCTTCTGACATGGTACACAGAATAGACTGCTATTCTCCCAAAATGTCTCTTTTCCACTGGGTTCTTCACGTTTTTAAAGAAGTAGACGTACTCTGATGAAACATATGATGGGCAATGTGGAAACAAGCAACTGAATTCTTCTAAAATTACAAGGATAGAAACAATTTTTTGGTCTTCATGGTTTATTTCTGGAAATATTTATGAAAGTTGATCTCAGAAATATTCTCAGGAGAGATAGTGAATGGGCAGTTACGGAGGCTATAGGGGTTTACTTTGTTAGGAGACTACAAACTTCATACCAATATGCTTTCTTTCGGTTCAAAGCAAACAAACAAAACCATAATTATTTCGCTTAGTTTTAGGTTCAGAATTCTGTATCTGACATAAAGGTCATTCATAAAAGTCAACTAAACAAGAATGTATGAAATGTTTTTGTAAATTTTAGGAAAAGTAATCATACAGACTTTTCTAATGGTGAATTTTAAGTTACGTAAAATTTGTAAGTTTTGTTTCCATTTGATCTAAAGAAGTATGAACTGCTGTAGTTAATGCAGTTGAATTGACAAGTGAACCTAACAAGGCTGATTTTTCTCCTCTTACACTCATTTAAGTCTAGAGCAATTTCTGTTTAGTTCAGACCATTTATTCTGAAGGAGGGCTTGGACCACTGTTTTTTCATGTCTTTAAATACAGTTATATAACTACATATAGTTTATAAATAGTTATAACTCAGATTAGATCACAACTGGTTTATACAGCATATATAGTACATCATTAAAAAACCAGCCTTAAAATAATTAAGCCGATATATCTACGCAGCAAGGCAAACCCCCCAAAACTCTGCAATGACATTGGGAACAACCTTGATTTTAAAACAGAGTAAATTTGCCAGGCAACATTACACTGAATATAAAGAGAGTACAAAGCAAAATATAAACATTAGCCACATGTAATTATGTTTGGAGAACTTTCAGGATGTTACTACTTTTCAAACTGACAAAGTTTAATTTGACACCTTCTGTTCTAAAACCTTTGTTTCTATTCAAAATCATGCCTTTAGCTGCTATCAATCACTATGCTCTCCCTATTACTTAAAATACTGGCATGGGCCCTGGATAAGCTGAAAATGCCATGCAGATGAATTCCGAGATAATATGTTCAAACCTGTTATATACAACACAAATCCTGTAAAGTTATGTATTGTAAACCTACATTTATTGGGAACTAAAAGTCTTAAATCCATCTGCTACAAAGAAAATACTGTTATGCACTTTCAAGTAACCAAGTACCACCTGCAAAGGTCTTGCTACAGTAAGCAAGAAAATGGTGAAAAAAAAAAAAAAAAGATGCTAAACCTAAGATATTTAAAATAAATAAGAGTCTTCTGTCTGGTTTTCTGATAGGGATTTAGTAAAGAAACATAAGACATTAGAGGGGAAAAAACCTGTGAAAGCCGAACTGCCAAACTATTGCAAGAAAAGCGCAAAGAGGATAACTGCCAAACATTAGACTCTGCAAGACCCATGAGCATGCTTATTTTAAAGAAAGCATCTATGCATTTTATCTATGTATTCAAATGCTATTTTAGTCAGTCTGACCTGTGCTGTGTTTAAATAAAATCTTCTGCTCTTTCACGTAGAGTTTCTAACAGACTATTCTTCCATTCTGGTATCTTTCTTATTAAAAGGAAAAAAAAAAGATAATTGAAATCTGCACTTAAGGTGTAAATACCAACCCTAACTAGATCAAAGGGGGTAGCATTACAATCATGAAAGATGTTTTCTGGGCACAGCTTTTCAAATCAGCAACAAACACATCTAGTCTGGGAAGAAAGGGCTTCAAGGTGAAGCAACTGAACTCTCTTGTTTGGTGAATTTGTTATAGTGATAATAATTTGCCAAATGATGAATATTTCTTACAGAATAACTAACAAAGACTCCAACATTTTTTAAAAGAGCTGTAATTTGAATCTAAGGCGGCAAAACATTTTAGAGTATCAATGCTAAGACATGAACAGTTTTTCCCTGGTATAGTATATCTAAGATTATTTTGTATCATTCTCTGGGGCGTATAGTACAATAAAAATATATGGTGTTAAATCAGTCTGAATAGGGAGGTATTTGATACAAACATTTTAGCAGAAAGTGTGAATTGCATTTCAGCATCTACTGTGAACAGTACATAATCCATTAAACAGTACTTCTAACTCAA